GAGCCAGTTAATTAGGACGATGACCGTTTAGTATTGACCAGGATATTTGATATTTTGAGCGTTTTTCACACAGTATTATCAACAGCCTACTTAGCTATGGCGTCAGAATAACTTAAATGGATAATGCTTAGATTTTTAAGCAACAATCACGCCCTTTTTTATATGCTTGTTCCCTGCCCTCCTCAGGAAAATCCTGACGCCGAACCTTCCAATGCTTTTCTTCGAAGGGTTTAGTGCGTTCTTTTATGTACAGGACATACTACATAATATACTAACGGCTTAACGTCTATCCTGAAATATGTGCTACTGGTATTACAAAGAAATTCAATAGGCTATGTGAGTATCTTAATGTTTATAAGGAGTATTCTCTTTAATATACTTAAGCCAATTCTACTATAACGCATAATGCACTTCATATTTTTAGACGTGTCTTTAGATCAAACATCCTGTGGAACAAAAAATAGACTCTTTGAGATAATTAAAAACTACTCTACCTAATCATTGCATTGACATTCAAGCAGATCAGATGCCCTCTTACTTACTAATTGGTAGAAAGAGAGGGGTGGGGGGAGAAGTGCATTAGAACAAGAACGAAAGCGAAATTTACAGGAAGTGTTCGAATTAATAAAACTGAATTAAGTTTCATAGCTCGTATCGCAATCTCTGTGTCAAGCCCCTCCCACATAACTGTAATAATGCAAGTATTCAAAATTAGGTGTTTGTCTGCCAGTTGTCATTTGTCATAGTTATTCTTCAGCGCATTTTATAAATAATAATTCTTAATTAGGAATCTATAGCTCGATTTTAAAATATTCCATTACGGTTAAGCTTATTTAAAGGCCAAATCCGTTTATGAAAAATGTTAAGTGAAATGACTCGTGAATAAAATAATTTCTTAAGCCTCGTTTGACAGTAATTGTATTGTAATAGTAATTGTATCATTAATCAATATTACACACAGACGCACCAGAAGAGTGTAGCAACAAGATTAAGTAATGTTGGTACCAAGTTCTGATTGGAGATAGTTGAAAATTAGATTTCCAAGTCAGTAGATGCACCCAGAGAGATTTATCCGACATGTGGTAATCGATGTTAACTGTTTTTCTCGACAGAACACTTAAAATGGAAGCTTGGTCGAAAAAAGACAACCCTACCCAAAAAACAAAGAAAAACAGCATAAACTACATCAACTCGGTTGTATATCCATTTGATGGAACGAAAGCTAGTAATGATAAAGAAGAAGATAATGGTAATAAACAACGGAAAAGGTGTCTAGAAGATCTAGAAAATTTCTCACAGAATACTACGCTGCATGGACTTAGCTTTATTACAAGTAAAGACTCCTCAACCGCCAGAAGGTACGTTATTTTCAAAAGGAACTATACAAAATATGTTTAGTGAGGTTTGTCCAAGAACTCTCATTTGACTTTCTGTATTATCTTTTTTTTTGTTAATCTCGCCTTATCTAGTAATTGTTCACTAATGCATTCTTTCTCTTATAATAATTTGAGTGTTTTTTATATCTTTAATTAGATGTTTATATTTTTGGTTTAAGGTCCTGCTCCTTACTTTGAAACTTTACTTAAACCAGATATAAGGATGGTAATCATTTGAACTCTCTATTAAAAAAGAAGAGTATATTTCACCTATAATCACTTAAAATTTTATTTTAGGCGCTTATCACAAAGTAGTGAAATGTTGCAATTTTCTCACCAATTTTACTTAAAATTACATTTTTAAAATGAAAACAAGGATGATAATGCTATTAATAAAACGTGATAGAATTTTTGTTTTGAATCATGTAAAGATTATCAGAATATGAAATAATAAATTTAGGCATTGACAAAACTGATTAAAATATTCGTATATTTAATAAGCTTATGTTTTTTGTTTTTTAAAATTATTTTTATTATTATTTTCGGTAAATAAAGAAATCAGAACACCAGCTTTTTGATGCTGGTCTTAAATTATAGGAATTCTATTACTCACCAAAGACAGTGCAGTTTTAAACAGACTACAAACAAGTGTGTGGGGATGTAGGGGGTGGGGGTATGTGTGTGTGTGTGTGTAGTCTGGCATATAACATTATACACACAGTCTTACATAGCAAACACCATAATATAGAAAGTTTAAAAAGAGAAGATATATAAAGATTTTCTAAATGAACTGTAAAATTGACATTTTTTCGTTACTATTGATTTTGACAATTTCATTCCTTCTTTCGTCAATTTATTTGTCTCAAAGTCGTACACCAATCTTGATTAGTAGGCCTATTTCCATAGGGTTTTATAGAGAAAGCTAATAACGCTACTGAATGTAACAATCACTTCAATTTCTTTTCAAAATGTTAGATCGAATAATGAGTTAAAAACATAATGAATATTGAAATTGATAGAAATATTAACAAAGAAAAAGTAAATTATTAATTTTTAAATAATCTTGATTATTTTCAGTTTGAAATATGATTTTGTTGTCCTCTAAATTAAAAGATTGGCCAAATTTATTAATTGTAAGGCGGCTCAATATATGATGTATTACCTTCTACATTTTCTGATTATGATTGTACGTTTAGTGCTGATTTGGAGAGTATTAGATACAATTACATTTATTCTTGTCATAATGGTACAATAAGACAGATACAAACCAAAAGGTAAGCACAAGAAAGATGGGGAGGGGAACAACAAACTGCTTCCTACGTGCATGAAACATAATGTATCATAATGGCGAGTTGGATGGCCGAGCGGGTAGTACAACCTACAATTATATATCACCCATTTTTGTGGTGAAACAAGTTTTCTCGGATAGATGACAATAAACCGTAGGGCCAGTGTACACAATTTGACTCATGAGCACTTAAAAGAACCCAGTACATCTTTCGAGACGAGTAGGGTATTACCCCGGTGTACTGGTTCATACACCCCCACCCCGTTGTGGACAGACGAGAGTAGTTGGTACCGGTTTACAGGGTAGCTCTGACATGAAGAGACTCTTTGCAGAAGAAAGTTACTTCACGAGCTAGTGCATTGATCGATTTAAGACTCCGGTATAAAGCGCTTATAAACTACATTATAAGTCAATCGTGACTTCGTCACTGCAACTCCCAATGTTATTTCCCCACCGTCCACTAATTTTGCAATTAGTAGACGCTTGGCTTGATTTTTTTTTAGGTTCGTGTGCAAAAAAAATCCTCATTTTTTCGTCACCGCGAAGATATCGTGCACCGCGATGAAATTTGAATTGTATTGGAAATTACTTCAGTAAAACAAGCTTAATGAGGACCCGAAAAAAAGTTACTTCAAATTCAATATTAAGTATGAACAAATAAAGAATTCATTGAATCAATGGACCCTCATAAACAAAACAAACTAAACGTTTAATAGGAATATTCTAGACCTTATTTTAAAGACTCCAGGAACAGATTTGGATGTAGGCCTACGTCCAGGCAGGAGGCCGCCGAGGCCTCCTCTTACTAATACCCATTTCACACTAGCAGAAAATATTACAACTTTTAACAACTATTAACAAGTTGTAACAAGTTTGATATTCCGAGATTTTTGGTTCGTTTCACACATGCACTTTCAAACCATGAGAAATCTCGGGAAAACTCGGAAGAATATTATGACTAGGCCTAGAGGCCTAGGGTAGTACTAATAGGCCTAGGCTAGTTGTAGGTTGTCCGAATTACATATCAACTACTAAACTAGGCCTGGTACCGAATTAACAAGATTATAATTCTTCCATGGTCCTTAGCCTTCGGAGAGTAAAACGAATTCAACTTCTAGCTCGCTTGCTGTAGTCGAGCTGGCCTAGGCTAACTAGGCGCAGTCGGGCCGCCGGCCGGTAGCTCACTATTGTTGTTAGAGGCAATCAGTGCAACAAGCATCATAATGATTCGCTGTCGGCGTATTTTACGAAGCCTCGTGATTGTTTCTACATCAGACATGTGAAATTTAGCGAAATATCTTTTGATTTTAGGTCTAGGCCTATTAACAAATGGTAGTAATGTTGATACGTTTTCCATCGCTGCCGCCATTCGTTCGAACTAAACAAAAAAAAAAAAAAAAAAAAACAGTCCGCGAAAAGGTCAAAATATGGACATGACGCATGCGCAACAACAACCCGGAAGATTTCGGGAAAAAACAGGCCTCGCGATGGTCTGTTTTTGTTCCGAGATAACTCAGGGGACCCCTGTGAAACCTCGGAAAGTTTACAAGGATTTTGCTTTCACTCTCATCCAAACCTGGTTACAACTTGTTACAAGTTGTTAATATTTGCAAAATAGCATCAGTGTGAAATGGGTAAGACGTAGCATAGCCTAGTCATGAAATCATCGCACGATTTTTATCTGTCTGCATGCACCGACCAAAATGGTCAGTGACTATTCTTTTTCGAATGCTGAAATGTTTATTTCTTTGACAAATGTCTATCAAAATAGCATTACAAACAAGTTCTTTCTAACACAATTACAATAGTTATTCGTATTCGTACTGTTATGTATTGCTGATGTGTAGTTAAAGCCTGTTTTCCACTATGCAAATTTATTCGCGTGAAACAAATCATCGGTACACATTTCTGAGCTCTGATTGGCTGCGCATTTTTTCGCCTCGCAAAAACCCGATATAGTCCACCCGAAATACGGATTTGAAGCACCAAAGTTGGACATAATTGCAACAAAACGTTTTTTTTAATGAATATATATAGTTAAATTTTATATCTACAACATATAAAAAGTTTACCAAAATATACCCACGGGAAAGGTGATTCTTATAGCAAAGAAAACTGAACTATTTCACTGGGCTTATACGCCGTGCCTATGATGTGTGTGCTGTGCCTTGGTTACGAAGCGCTTTAATTTGATTTGCCGCTGACGCTTTTGATTGGTTAACATACCTTCAACAGTCTGCGCGTACTCATTTACGCAACACACGTACGTACGTACGCAAGTTCGTACGTACGTCACGTCCCAGAATGTAAGCACGGAAATTGTTAGATATTATAACCTCTGTAATATTTAATTTCAGGGTAGATGGATCTACAACAATAATTCAATTTTAATTTTAAATACAATGATAGGTACGATTAATTGACAAATAGTGAGGCCTGCCCAGTGTGTGCCGACCCAGCTAAGACTCAGGAGTCGGAAAAAACACCAATTAAAATTTTATAGCTAATACAATAAAACAAATTTATTTGCAAATAGTGTAAATAATTGTTGATATTTTAAAAAGTATAATAATGACTGATAATTGATTTATTTGAAATAGGCCTACTATTCTACTCTCTTCATATAAAAAAAAATGTTGGAAATCACGTAAATTCAGGATTTGGTGCCGAGTTACTGTATAATGCCTGTATAATGCCTTGTCTTCTGGTGAATAGCATGGACGGGGGTGACAGGCGACACGTACCCCCCCCCCAACTATTTTAAGGGGGTGGTCCCCATCACGTTCCTAAGGAAGTCAACAATATTCCTGGAAATTGTAGAATTGAACTGCATAAATGACCAGATTTTAACGAAAGACCAATTTACAGGCAGATAACATCTTATTTTATAACAAAATTCCGGTCGGTGTTTTCTGTCCACAAACATCTGAATTAACTGTAATACACAACTCGAGTGCGTGCCTTTATTACACAAGTATGATAAAAAGTGTGTAAAGATAAATTGGTTTTCGGCTCATGAAGTAGGTAAAGTAGATAAATCGAAGACAATTATGTTGTTATATTTCTATCGCAGCGATTCATATTAGATACAAGATAGATTTATTGTCAAATTAAAATATGAAATTAGTTTTTCTCATGGCAACAAAAGTACATAAACAACAAAGAAACATACGATCAATGATAATTAATTTTACATCATATGTACAGTATTATTTAGATCTCTATGTTTGCCGAAAATCGTTAATAAGAGATCATGAGAAATTTGTTGACGCTTTATTTTGCCTGGTGATGTGATGATGATGAATTTTACTACTGTATATAAAAGTGCCTTGCCACCTAGGTACTATTTTATATTTCTTTTTTACCTCAGTCCCAACCACGTACGGCTGAAGTAGAGCTAAGTAAATGTATGATTACTGCACCTGTAGACAAAATTTGAATATACTATTTTTTTCTCAATATTTTTTGAAATTTTAAAAAGGCCCCCACCCCCTAAATTGGCTACTGCTATCGATTGAATATCTGGAGAAAGAAATCTTGTTTGTTTTTACTCAGTGTACAGCTGATTATAACTCAAAGGAAATACCGA